CTTCCCTACCACCAGGAGCCAGGTGGGCAGTGATAAAGCAGGAAAAGGATAGCCTCTGTATTGGGAAGGAGGAAGTCAAGTCAGTGAACAGAAAGTCCCAGTGGATCTGTGAAAAACTTCTAGAACTAAGCCGTGAGGTCAGCGAGGTTGTGGAAGTCAAGGTCCATATACAAAACGACTCACATCGCAGCACACTAGAAAAAGAGTCTGACATTCCAAGCCCATTTACAATGTCATCCAGCTGTGAACCGCGAGGGCTGCATTTGCTGAGAGATGTGCAAGGTCTTCGTTTAAAAGCTACAAGAGGAATTAAAGAAGACCTAAATAGAGACCTGTATTCTGTTCTGGATCGGAGGACTCGGTGTCGTTGAAGCACCTCCCCAAATTGGTCTGCAGGTTGAAGGCAAGTCCAGCCTTTGAATACCTACGCCAGGAGGATCCCGGAGCCTCTGTGGGCATGTGGGTGATCCTCCCCTCTGTGGGGCGCATGGCCTGTGGGCAGCACAGCCTTGTGCAGAGTGTGGGCATTTAGGGGTGGTCTCCAGAATCATTTTCTTTCCAGATGTGGAGTGGAGCCAGGGCTGAAGGAGGAGGGGGTCCCTGAGGCAGGGGCTGGCCAGGTGGCCCTGTGCAGGAGGTGAAGGTCCCCCTACCCCCAAGTGTGACTGTTGTTATCTCCAAGGCTATGGAGTTAGGGAGACTCTTGCTGCCTTCTTTGTGTTTTTCTGTTTTTGACAAATATTTTTTTGCAGAGCTCTTATTTCCAATGTAATCAGAGAAACAACAATTCCCCGGTGGATTCCTGTGGGATTTTTTTTTTTTGTTTTGTTTTTTTGTTTTGTTTTTTTGGCTTCCATACAGTTCAAATATTTTACAAGAATGTTGTACTTCTCTTACAATCAAAAACAAAAGGCAGGCCCTCAGAAAGGCTGTTACCTGTGGCTGCCACAGCAAGCCCTCTGGCAGCCACAGAATGGTAGAAGAGCCCCTGGGGGACGTTCCCGAGTGGCCGCCCCTCAGAGGGCAGGTGAGTCCTCAGCTGCGTTTTGCAAGCCCCTTAGATCGGCCCATGGAACGCCTCTCCAATCGTCTCGGAAGGTCTGACAGAAGGCTTGACTCCTTCCTTCTGTGAAGAAGACGGTTTGGGATCTCTAATTACTTCATTGAGAAAAGGCAGACCCTAGAGGCTGCTGCAGTGATTGGGAATTAATCTTTAAAGCCGGACGGTGACGGTAAACTCAGTTCGGGAGAGCAGCTGGCAGCGATGCCTTGGCCCTCGCCCCGGGTCGCCTGCAGCAAGCCCGAGTGGCCGCCACTGTGGGCCCGGGGACTGCGTGTGCTCTTCACTGCTGTGGGCAGTTAGCGTGGTCTCCGGGACTTGTGGACAGCCCTGGCGTGGCATCCCGGCGTGCCTGGGGACTGCCCTGGGCCTCGAGCTCTTGGTGTCCACGCAGGCACCTCGCACTCCCGCCCCCCCTTCCTCTTCATCCCTCCCTTTTCTTCTTTTGAAGATTCTTGGGGCTGGGGAGATGGCTCAGTAGAATAAGCGCTTGCCTGGCAAACACAAGGGCCTGAGTTCAATCCCTGATTCAGCCAAAAAAAAAAAAAAAAAAAAAAAAAAAAAAAAGATTCTTCTCTCCATTCCCCCATTCCCTCCTCTCTTTCCTCCTCCCCCCACTCCTCTAACATTTCCTTATTAATTTAACGTTTCATTTTATTTATTTTTTATTATTGCTTTTTTTTTTTTAAAATTGGTTACAGGGTCTTGCTACGTAGCACTGGCTGTTAGTGCTCCTCCTGTCTCAGCCACCCCAGCACTGGGATGACAGGTGAGCGTCACCGCTCCTGGTTTCCCCCCCTGCACAGCGCAGGGCCAGCGTTGCATGGGGTACTGGAATGGAAACCTTGCGCTTGCCAGGCAGGCGCTTAGACCGCAGAGCAATTTTCCCAGCTCCTACCGGTTCATTTTAAATTACGAACTATTTGTATTTATTCATTTAAAATGAAACTGCACGTTTCATTTTAAATTATGAACTATTTGTATCTATTCATTTCAAAATCATGGCCACCTGTGTGCCTGCCACGGAGGTCTTCCATCCAGGGCCCTCCGCAGGTCTGGCCCAGCCTCCAGCAGTGTGGAGCTCATGACCAAGCGCTCCCCAAGACGCCCCTCCCTCATCTCTCCGGTGCTTTTCCCCCTCCCTGGCTCTTCTCAGACCCGTTTTCTAGTTCCTCCTCCTGGGAACCCTCTCTGCGCTGTCCATATTCATCCCCTTGCGGAGAGCTCAGCCTGTTCAGCTCGCCTTCCAGGACAGCGGCTGCAGAGCTCTGCCTCCCTGGGCCGTTCCCTCCTGCCCCCCCCCCCATCTGCTCGGCAACACTTTCTGTCCCCAGAGCAGAGCTGCTGGGCTCGCAGGCCGCTGGCTCCATCGCCTGGCACTGGGGTTGTTGCCCCGGGCTCTTCTCCTCATCTCCAGGGTATTCTCTTGCGGTGGACGCTTCTCCGGGTCCACTTCCTCTCCGCCCCACATTCTTTCAGAAGCTGCTCCTCAGCTCGCTGTGTCCCCAGGGCCCTCACTCTGCCCCCTGTTAGCTGGAGCCGGCCCTTGCTGCCTTCCGCCTGGGCCTGCGCACTGTACAGGGTGACTTTCAGCTGGCGGTCGCCTCTCCGAACCTAGAAGCCCTGCCCCCAGGCCCAGTTCTCTTTCTTACTCCCCCATCTCCGTGAAGAACAGTGGGGTGCAGAGGAGGGGGCAGCAGTTGCAGCCTCTGTCAAGCCTGCCTTCCTTCCACGCTGACTGCGAAGACTGAGCGCCACTGTGAAGAGGCGCTCCTTCCAAGAGGCATGGCCGCGATCAGGCTTCTCCGACGTAGCCCAAGCTGCAGAGTGGCGGGATGAAGACGGAGACCTCTCCTTGGAGGCGGGCGCAGAGGTCTTCCTCAGCTCGTGCAGACACCCTTTTGGTGCTGAGCCACTCTGGGGTGGGCCGGCAAGGGGATCAAGCTAGGGATCCAGCCAAGTTTCCGACATTTCAAGTTGACATAATTTGTCAGCCACCACACTGGGTCATCTAGGAATGTGCGTTTACTTTTTTTGGGGAACCATCCTGCAGTTTTCTGGAGTGGCCGCAGTTTTCCATCTTTGCTCAGGCTTGTTACTTTGTCCTCTTTGATGGTGCCGCTGCTAGTGCCGGGGTGCCTTGGTTCACGAGCTGAATTCTTCGCATGACTCTGCCTCTACACTGAATTGGATGAGGCTGGAATCAAATTCAGCGGTTATGTTCAATGTTGAATTTACTAGGAAACTGGATTCAATTCTCGTCTAATTTGGTTTGTGACCAGAATCATGGAAAGAATTAAGTTTGTGAACTGAGGCAGCACTGTAAGTAAGAAGTGGCAGTTTGTGTGTGCATTTTAAAGTGCTTCACACTGTATGTTCAGCTTGGCTTCTGCACTCAATGTTTTGTTACTACTTACCCATGTTAGACTTATAAAAGTAGTTAATTTATTTTACTTCTTTGGGGGGACAACCAGGGATCGAACTCAGGACCTTGTGCTTGCCAGGCAGGCACTTGTGCCACTGAGCTATCTCTCTGGCTCCCTAGTTAATTTATTTTATTTTACTTTTTCTGCTGTCATACACAGTTTTGAAGAAAACAGCAATCTGCTCTCTGCTGCACTCCCACGACTTTGCACTCCACTTTGAAGTTTCCTAACCATTTCTTCGATTATTTCTGTCTCTGCTTCTGAGTGTGAGTACCGCTGTTCTTGGTTTCCCAGAGTGAGCCCTTGCTGTTGACCTGCGGCATGGAAGAAAGGCAGGGAGCTTCTGGGCCTTCTTTGCGGGCTCCTCTGGGCCTCTTGTTTTCTTCAGCCCAGACATTTACATATTCCCAGAAAGCCTGCTCTCAGAACTCTGACCCTTCGCATTCTGAGAACTTCAGGACTTGGCAGGTTGGATATTTTTCTCCTCTTTAGTGGTAAGTTTCCCCCTAGGACTGGGCTTCAAGTTGAAGTGTGGGCGTGGGCTCTGTTTGGGCCTCTCTCTTATCAAGGAGGCTGAATCTTGGCTTTCCCGACGTGGTGGAAGGCTCGTGGCCCCAGCCCCGCCTGCACACTGTGCCCTCCCTACCTCCTCTGTCCTCTCTGCTGCCCTAGGTGACGCTTTTAGGAATTAGCTCCATTCCAAGGAGGAGCAGACTGAGGCCCACACTGTAATGCTGCTGCACTAGGTCCCTGGACGGGCAGGTAGTAGCGCCAAGGAGAGGCACTCAGCACTGTGCCGTGCAGTGACAGCGAGGGGCCAGGGGAGGCGCCCTAGCCTGCCACGCCTGGCCAGCTGTGCGATTCCACCCCGCTGAGTGTGCACGCAGCGGGGGACGGGACACTGAGCCAGTGTGCACACACCAATGGCCCTGCCTGTGGGAGCTCGTGGGCCTGTGCTTGTGCTCGTAAGTCACTGTCAGAGCTCGTTCTGTGTACATAGCACCCCCATGCCGCTGTGGAAGCTGGAGTGGGAGCCAGGGCGCCAGCGCCCTCTCCCCTGAGGGAGCTCAGCTGCTCTGCCAGCTGTTCAGCAGGTGCGGCCGGTTTCCTTGTGGATCCTAGCTTTACATATAACCTGTCAGCATCACCTGGCTGCCTGCCATGCCCCCTCCTGGACAGATGACAGGGATGCAGGCCAGATGGTGACCGGACTGTGCGTCCCGAGGGAGCAGGGCTTGTCTGATGGCTTGCAGGTGGGAAGCAGGTGCTGCTGGCTGGGTCAGTGACCAGAGAAGGAAGTGTCTTTTCTTTTCTTAACCCAGGAAAGTAAGCCTTCCCATTTCTGCAAGGAAAAGTTTAGCATGGAGATACAGTTTTGCCGGTGAGATAATGGGCCTCCATCTCCACTGGGAGCCTCTTTCCCTCACTGAGGGCACCACCAGGTCGCAGGGATGTGCCACCTGCCATTGTGCCCTTGCAAGTGCCTGTGCTGTCTGTCTGCCTTTCCCTTGCAGGTGTGGGACGCTGTGGACTTGGGACGCTGCCTGCAGACCTACACCCCACACAGCGAGGCAGTGCGGGCTGCCCAGTGGTCTCCCTGTGGCCAGCGCATCCTCAGTGGCGGCTTCGACTTCACCCTGCACCTGACAGACCTCGAAACAGGTGTGTCCCTCTGCCCTTGCCCAGGGCAACTGGTGGCTCCCTTGCTGGGAACACTGCCTGGAGAGTCCTAGGCCACAAGTCCCAGGCGGTGTCCTGTTGCTGGTGAGGGCCTCGGCACAGCCTGCTGTGTTTGCTGTTGGATCCGTGTCTCCCGGAGGATCGAGGTGGCCCTCTGCCAGCTGGCCCAGAGGACAGAGCCCAAGGTTGTCTCAGTCTCAAGCTGTGAGGCTGGATAAAGAGGTGGCTGTTTAATCAACTTCTGACATGCAATTTGTACTGGAATAGGTTTAACTTTATCACGGTGTCTTTGGTTGGCGTCAGTTTAGGATTCCTGTCAACTCATTACTGATGAAAACTGTAAGAATGATTCCAGCTCATCAGGAAAGTCCTCAGACGAGTTCTGCTTTAATGGCCATGCTGAAAAGGCATCTGAGTAAGATGGATTTGTGTTGGATCTGAAGGGGCCCCTTGGCAAGCAGGCAAGCACAGAGAAGCCTTGGAGAGAATTCTCCCATCCCCAGTGTCCTGTGTGCCAGCCGTAGCTCCTGGGTCTACAGCCCAGGTCCTGAGGCTACCCTGTCCCAGGGATGGCGGGCAGCATATCGGACGGGTAGACCTGGGATGCAGTGGGCACGGCCTGCCCTGTCTCAGTGTCCATGTGGCCTTCTGCTCCTGACTGTCCTTGGTCGCTTTGCTGCCTGGCACATCCAAAGGGAGGTGGAAGGACCAGAGTTCACGCTGGTGTCCCAGGCCGCTTCTTGCCCTGCTGGCCGCATAGTGGCAGCCTTGGGCCTGCCTCTCCCAGGTTGTGGGAGACAGGTGCTCACTGCCAGGTCGGACCTGTGCAGTGCTCCCAGCAGCTTGGAGTAGACACAGCACAGGGTGGGGGTGGGTGTGGGGGAGAGTACCTTCTGCTTTGGCTGCACCTCCATGTTGTCCTCTTCTCCTGGGCCAGAGGTGGGCTTGAAGCTCCTTTGCGCCCACGTATACTCAGGAGCTGGCCAACGAGGCTGGTGGTTGTGGAGACCCTGCGGTGCCAACGCTTAGGCTTTGCCCACAGCATGTCACATTCTCATCAGTGCTGGCAGCGATTCCATTTTAGGGGGAGGAGATGAAGGAACCTGCTCAGGGCCGCCCCGTGGTAGTGCATAGCCGGCCAGGGCCAGGGCCAGGGCTGTGTGTGGGCTCCATACCTCACTGCAGCGGAAGGGGCTTCTTTTGCCTGGCTGTGTCCCTGGCTCTGTGGTCTTGCAGGTCTTCTCAACCCAGTGAGGTCTCCAGGGCCCAGGGAGTTGGTGTCCCTGGGTGATGGTGACGATTTGGCTGAGGACGGCAGCAGGACTTTTCTACTGACCATGTCTGCAGCCGTCCAGAAGGTCTCCTGTAAGCCCCAAAGTGTGGACCATCCTGGGATGCAGTGAGGGGCAGGATACAGAGCACTGGGCTTAGACAATCAGGGAGGGCCTCCTGGAATCCGCAAACCAGAGCTGAGCCAGGAATTGAGTGGCCAGAGGACCAGGGCGGGAGAGGTCAGGTGGGCTCTCAGCAGGCAGAGCAAGGGCAGAGTTGCCCTGGGTGGGGTGTGTGGAAACTTGGCAGCCTGTCTCGTGGGGTGCAGGACACTGGAGCCGAGGAGGGCGTCTCCAGCCCGTGAGCACATGAACTGCGAGGGTGCCACCGTGTGGGTGGAGGGACAGCCGAGACCCTGGCCCGCGTGTCATTACTTCTTACCAGTTGATGGTGTTAGTAGGCTCACTGTGGCGCTTTGGCCTTGTACTCTCTGTGAGCAGATGTTACACACAAGCCAGTGTGTGTGCATGTGTGTGTGCGTGCATGCGTGCGTGTGTGTTGGGAAGGGTGTGCTCTGAAATTCTTGGGTGTTCACAGGCGCTGTGGCCTGTCAGGTGCTGCTGCAGCGGGGCTGGGAGGGGCTCATGATTGATGGGTGGGCAGGGAGAGCTGTGGCGGGTTGCTTCGCTTTTGGGTCAGGGTCTCACTGTGCAGTCCAGGCTGGCCCTGAACTCACTGTGTACCCCTGGCTGACCTCCCACTGCAGCGAGCTTCTTGTCTCAGCCTCTCGAATGCTGGGATTAGAGACGTGCACACCAAGCCAGGCCCATGGCTTGGCTTGTGCTTGGGGCAGGTGCTCCACGTGATTGTGGCCCTGAGGGGTGGCCAGAGTCCAGGAGGTGTTGTCCTCTGTCCAGCTGCAGTGGAACTGCCCTGGAGGAGTGTGCTGACCAGCTCTGGCCTGCTAGGTGCGGTGAGAGAGAAAGGTATGGCTCTGTCCTGACATATAACTGTGGAGGTAGGGTGACTGGGGATTCCCCACTCCACGCCTTGGCCACCAGTGGCAGCTGCACTGGCTTCATCTGTCCAAGGCACGATTTTATTCATCATGAATGACTTGTTGTGCACCTGCTATGCACCAGGCCTGGCGTTGCCACTGTGGGCCAGGGTGTCGGGTGTCCTCCATTCCAGGGAGGCATGGCTGGGGTCTGGATGGGCCTGTCCTACTGAGGAGAGTGCTTGGCTCTGGTCCAGCTCCTGGCCTGCAGGAGCTCTATGAGAACAGCCTGCTTTGGTGGTACCTGAAAACTCCTTCTGTGGCCAGATGCAGGTAGGAAAGAGTGCTGGGGCCATCGCTCCTGAGAGTGAGGGCCCACATGCCCACCTGCATCCCGGGTTGTGTTTGCCGAGGCTGGGTGGGCTCGAGTCGCCCAGAAGCTTCCCTCCAGCTTGGCCTCGTGCCATCTCTATGGTGAGTCTGGACCCTGTTTCACTTGTCCGTCCTTTTCCCACCCTCGGTGATTTGGCTTTTTCATTTCAATCTAATTACAGCTCCTCTCCTGAATCGGGTGGCACAGGCGTCCTCGCCACAGCGCTGTGGGAATTCATCACTCGGTGCCCATTGTCATTAATGGGCATTTGGCGCCAAGGCCATTTATCCTGGTGTCCTCAATCAATACGGTTAGAAATCTGTGCATTCTAAAACGTCAATAGCGGGCCGGGAAGATGGAGGGCCAGCAACATTGTATCTCGTTAATTTATAGTTCAGACGGGCTGTTGGCTTAGGGGGAACTGTGAATCAACACTTAATAAAACCTGCTCACAGATTAATTATTTTTGGCGCTGCCGTTTCGGTCCAGAATCTTCCTAACAACCATCGCTGGTGCCTTAGGGTGAGGCTGTTAGGGCCCCAGGCTGTACAGCCCCTCTCCTCAGCCCTTGTCTGTGGCTCAGGGTTTCTCAGATCCCACAGCCAGCACCTGCCCTGTGCATGGTCACCTGTCCTCTGGCTTGTCCCATGGAACCACCAGGCCCCAGCTCCTGGGTGTGGTGGGAGCCCGGTGGGTGGGCAGAGCATCCCCCTCCTGGTGGTGCGGTGGCCCGGGGCCCTTTCTTTTGAGCACCAGGCTTTCTTTCTGGGAGAGGGCTGCCCTCTGTCGCAGAGATCCTGCAGAGAGAAGCCCTGGCCCTGGTCCTCGCTGTGGGCTCTGGCTGCCTGGCCGTGGTGTCTGGCACTTGGAGGGTGTCTCAGTTATTTTTCTCTCATTGCTGGGACAAATACCCAACACCCGGAATTAAGGAAGGAAAGGCTTAGTTAGTTCATAGTTTGTGGAGGCTTCAGCCCATACTCAGCTGGCCCCAAGGCAGCCTGGCATGTGGCAGAGGACAGCTGTTCATGGAGGTGGAAAACAGCGAAACAGCAAGAGCAAAGGGAAGGCGTAGCAGCGACACATGGCAACAGCGTGGCAGAGGCAGAGAACAAGCCCCTCTCCCTTGCTTCAAATTACCTTCAGGCTCTCCGCCCCAGGCACTCACACCCATAATCCCACTGGATCATGAGTTAATCACAAGCTCTAGAAGTCTGCCCCATGACTGCATGAGGCTTTGGGGGGACAGCCAGACACAAACCATAACACTGGGTCTATGGCTGATGTGCGTGCCAGACCCTTGCTGCTGTGACGTGGTCAGCGGCCTGCCAGCCCGCTAGGCCCGTGTTTTGGCCCCTTGTCATGGATACAGACACTGAGGCTTTGAGTACTCGGGGACCGTCTCAAGGCTCCCAGGTGGGGCACAGGCCCCTCGTGCATGGCTAGGGCAGACAGTGGTCTCAGCCCCACTCTCAGAGCTGGCCCGACTCATTATGGGGCCTCCGCTGAGGACCCTGAGCACTCCCCCAACTTCATGGCCGCTTCTCAGCTTCTGGCAGCTGTGCTCCGGCGGGGAGAAAGAAGGTCAGCCCGAGAACCTCAGGACACTTTGTGCAAGAAGGTGAGGAGTGTCTGTGTGAATGCCCGGGCTGTGGAAGGAGCCCGTGCCTGGGGTCCTCACTGCAAGCGCCCGCTGCACACGCCCGGTCTCATCCTCTTTACTCTGGGTGCCAGTGCCATGCCTGTGGCTCAGTGCAGCTCAGCAGGCCTCGCTGGCCCTGTATCCCTGGGTAGCCCGCACCGGCCTCGTCTTGTGCTGGGGCTTGTTGCACGCACAGCATCGTGTATTTCTGTTTGCTCCTAGTGACCTGTGGGCTCCCTGCGGTAGAAGGGAGCCACAGGTGGCTCCGTGTCCCAGCCAAGCCTGAGCTGGCTATGCCCTGCAGCTGGCGTCTTCCAGATGCCTGCCAGCCTCTCCGCCCCCCCGTGCGAGGGGCCTTTGTGTCCAGGTCTCCCTCCTGGGGCCTCAGCCAGGCTCCTGTGTTGTCCCAAGGCCGCACCCTGGGCAGCCCCACCCTCCGTCCACAGCACCTGGTCTCCCCTCACCTTACCACTCTTTCCATACTGTGGTGGAGGTCGAGGTTTGCCTGCTCTTCCCAAGTTCCATCTTGGTGCCCTCCGAGGACCTTGGCTAGCCCTCTGGACCACGCAAGGGGCTCTAGGCCGCAGCACTATTGTCTCTGTTTCCACCGTTGCCTGCGGCGGTGTCCCCTGACCATGTGTGCACTGTAGCTGCAGGTAAGTAGCGCTTGGCTTGCTTCAGAGGTAGGCCACCTTTGTTGG